TCAAGAAATAGAAGGGGAAAAAAATTCTGATACCGATGCTGATGATAAAAATGTCAGACAAATCGATTTGTATAAGCGAGAAAGGGAAAAAAAAGAAGCAACATAAAGACTTTGAAAGATATCGAAAATTGTAGTAATAATAAAAACTTTTATAATGTAAAATTAGTTAGTTATCAACAACATAACTAGTGATAAATAAAAACAAAACAAAAAAGGAAACCAATACAGGCAAGAAATGAAATAGTAGTAGCCAAGTCAACTAAGCTAATGATGAAGTAGGTATGTAAAACAAATAATAAACGAAAATATATGAAAGATATATATATATATATATATATATATATATATTCTTACACGCCATCTAACTATGATAGATGTAAACGAATAGTAGACAAGTTGATTTATTAATCAGAGGATTTGTATAAAATCATCGTAAAAACGAGTGGAGGAGATATAATTGGATGTATGTGCGTGTGTGTGTGTGTCTGTGATACTTATCAATTTGCAGTAGCTAAGTAACCAACTATAGATTTGTGTGCTTGATTTTAGACCACACCTAACTGTATAAAGATTAATTAAATATTACTATCTTAAAATTTAAACCGAAGTATATGGGATGGGTTATGTTTGAAATGTAACGACAATAACAAAATAGTTAGCTACATTTAATCGGTTAAAAACGATATTTTTTGTGTAACTATTAATAATACCAATCCTTTATTCAAACTGAAGTAGATAAGGTGAGAGTTCAAACCTGAAGGTTAACATTTCTAATATGAGCGCTAAATAAGTTGATAACACTCGGAAAATTATTCAAAAATGTACGTAAGTTTTGATTGCGTAAAATGTTTCAATATCCACAGTAAAAGAACACGGGTGGAGACAATCGAATGTATTTAGGCACAAATTACAGACTATCTCATTAAAATCTGATAACCATACAGTAAACAGTTAATTTGCAAAATAACAATCAATTGTCTCAATCCTGACTGTTCCTTCTGCAAATATCAGTCCGTCTTCTCTGTTCTCATTGTTCATACATTTTCATACTGATTGCGCTTCATTCCTGTTCTTTCCTTATCGATCTTCTGCCAAAATACATTCTATGCCTGACCATCACCATATACTACTTATGTGGATATAAGTAACCTACACCGCACTAGTTATAGTGTTAAGAAATGACAAACTATAATTGTACATGACAGTGTAACAACGAGAGAAAGTGAGTGATCATTGTTGATTGTATAACCTTACTTTCTCATCTTTGATTGTTCATTCATTATTTAACTGACAAATTATAATATCTATATAACACCTGTACTACTTTCATCCCAGTGACTTCTCGATTGAATGTTAATTGGTGACACTTGGACGATGTATAAAAAGTGAAGAGGTGGTCAGTTTATGGTATGGCATTGTAGTACGGAAGAGATGTATAAGACTGGTATCTATTGGTCTGTCTATTCAAACTCTCTAGTTGAGGTTATTGAGATGGTGCAACAGTGGCAATTCTGATGTAGACTTATTACACTCTCCATAAAAGTGAAAGAAACTCCGTTAAGAGAAATCTTTCTTGGTTGTATTTTTAAAAGAACTATTTCACTCATTACATCTCATTTACGTCCACTTTTAACTTTAAACTCATTTCTTTAACCTCTTTTGCTTTTTTACAATGTTATCTTATTTTGTTTGCATACGGCAGATATTTTTTTCGGTGATCAGTTATACCAGTATGCGTATTAAGTAGTCAGTCAGTCAGTCACAACGTAGAACTTCGTACGTACGTATATCAGTTTGAGTTGCCATACCACATTAAAACAGAGATCCAGTTGTCGATTCAAATCCCATTGTGGTAGAAGTAGTAAGAGTATAAGCAGTAATCCGAAAGATTAGGGTTTGAAGATGTTATTCAAGGAGTATAATTCAATGAAATAAATTTGGAAAGAGAAAATAAGGATAAAGACATGGAGAATTCAGAAGATTACAATTTTGGAGAACACAAAGAGTGGATGCATCTTCGCCATTGCAAACGATTTTGAGCAACGTCATTCACGGTCTCTAACTATCGATTGCTATCATCTCGCGGATCCCAACAAGGTAGTCTACACTTACAAGCATGACTCTGTCCACTTGTCAGCGACTTCATCGATTTGTGCCACGTTTCGGCCTGACTGCCCCTAGCTTTCTTCCAACCCACTCCTACACCATAAAACATCGCGTGTCGGGGCAGTCGGTGGTTGGGCATACGTAACACGTGTCCCAGTCATCTCAACTGATAAAGTTTCACTACTTCATCAATCGATTTGCCATCCTTACCTAGTACTCGTTTCCTAACAACTGCATTACTTACCCGGTGGCCCCAGGATATACGAGCAATGCTTCGAAGACACCTATGATCGAATACTAGTAGCCTAAGAATATCTTCTACTCTTATCGTCCATGTTTCACTTCCATAAAGTAGGACGGAACGAACTGCTGCACAGTAAACCCGTCCTTTGGTCGCTAGACGGATATCTCTCCCACGCCATAAATGACGCAAGTTGGCGGAAGCTAGACGATATTTCTGTATCCGTGCTGAGATTTCGTCACACACCAGACCACAAGGGCTGATGAGACTCCCAAGATAAGTGAAGCTGTTAACACGCTCAACTACTTCACTCCCTATCATCAGTGTAGGTGCCGATGCAACCCAATCATGAAGTAACATTTTGCACTTCGAGGGGGAGAATCGCATCCCGAACATGCCTGCATAGTTGCTAATAGTGGTCAGAAGACTCTGCATTTTGTCAGCGTCTTCACCGAATAAAACTATGTCGTATTAGCCTGCGCTTAAGCTGACTCCGCTATTCGTTATGTTCAGAGCCAGGTGGGATGAGTTTTCGAGCGTAGATCAGTGCGGTAGATGCTGCTAAGATCCAGTGTTTCTCCCTAACCCTATGGTTTACCGTACTAGCGGATATCACTGCTGTTTCCACAGCTTTACGGATATCATTCCACGCTGCCTCACAGTGGGCACAACTTACATGGCTGCCTAACTGTTTTTTTCTAGTTGTCCCTGAATGTAGAGAAAAACATTATATTCATCAAATTTAAACGATTCCCAAACGTGATCATTCTAACGAAATTTCGACTCACTCTCATACGCGCAAATATTTACACACACATACCAACTTTGGTATTTATTCATTTACATTTGGTTAGTAACCGGTTACTAAATCCTTCCAGCCCCCCCTCCCAAATCATATTCATTCTTAGCTTTTACTTATTTCAACTAGATATGAACTTCTAAGCTACTTTTTTGACTGTATTTCTGTTAAGAAAGCACTTTAGCATCGATTACTTAACTTTACATCTTAATCTGTCAATCTTTATTCAGATTTCATAGAATCTTAAATTGATTTTCAATCAAATAAAGTACATTTATGACTTTTAACCCAACAGTGAAGATAACATGTCTTGTGTGGCAAATCATTGTAAGTAACAAACATATTGTACAGAAATATTGAGAAAAAAAGTAACTATGTAGCTTCAAAAAGATATTTCTTAACCGGGGCTACCTGTTTTTCAGGACCTCTCCGAGATATTGATTGTTAATGTTTTATGGATGGACAATTTTGGTCTTCAACACAAGTACTGTACACCGTATAAGTCATGCCCCCTAAAGTTCAGTTGATATTGTAGGCTAAAGTACGACTTTCGTTACAATGTGGCATAAACGTTTACTGTTTAAATAAACATTCAATAATAGATAACATGAGGCACAAAACCACTATGTAACCCCAATATAATAAGTAGTTTTCCTGTTTAAGAAAACTTATAAAATGAAAGTTATTGATACATGAAATATTTATGAAAGCTATGAAAAACTAGAAAGGACTGAGTATCTGTTACTATAAACTGTCTATTTAGTGGGATACATTGTCAGGAGGCCAAGCGACGGTTAGGTCTAAGCAGAAAACCAATACATGAAGTCATTTACTATTTGACTAAACAATATTATGAGAAATAGACATGTTTATTTGAATTTCACAGGATGATCTTATTCTATTATTGTTAACCTGAAGTAGTGATATAACTTGAAACAATGTTTTTATGGATGCAAATCCATTCATTATTTACCTTGAACTAAATGTAGATATCAAATATTTTCCATACTTATCAACTCTACAATGTTCGCCTATGGTTTCCTTTAATTTTTTTCCATTACAGATGATATTATTTTCATGTACGTTGACTTCGTTATTCTTTATCTTGCATTAATCACCTCTTTAGTAGATATGATAGGAGATACACTAACTCAGAAAATATCGTCATTTCATTTAGCTGCAAAGAGCTAGCTTCTGTTGATCCTTCACGACTCCTTGGCTGGGGTCCGAGAGATGGTTCAACACAGTGGCTAGAGACGTTATCAGATATGGCTCAGAATAGAAGCCAGTGGCGAACCTGCTGTAACCTTTTACTTTCTTCATAAAGAGTAGTTATAACTTCTTAACTGAGTCTTCTGGTTGTACATTTCAGATCCCCCCATCATTACTCTTCTCTTTTTTTCATCCTATTTTTTCTTCTTCATATGTACGCGTCTTACCCCTTTCTCTTCCCACTCTCATTGTCTTGTATGGCGCATATGTATCTGGTGCCCCTATGTACCAATATGTATGTGTTTAAATAAATAAATAAAATATACATTAACTTGGATTGATAAAAATATGTACCAGGTCTAAACAATAGTTACATAACACATTTACCGAGTACAGATATATATATATATATATATATATATATATATACTCGGTTTTAAGCTATACACTATTTGTGTGAGATTTAATGGTCAAAATAAATGAGTCTGCAAATTATAGATTGAAACAACAATGCTTTAACTATCGAAGTACTAGTGTTGATAATTGACGGTGAATAAAATTGAAATTATCAAAAAATAAGAAAACTGTACAAAATAATGTCTACTGAAAAACAATTACACATCATAATACACTTATACTTACACTTTCAATGAGTGAACAACCATTGGTCATCGACGTATTGACATGATTAGACATAGTAGTAGTATTCATATTAGTAGTGTTAGTATTGGTAGTATTTGTAATAGTAATAGCATTGGCAGTAACTGACATTGTTGTTGTTGTTGCTGTAGGCAACATGGTTGTTTTATGATCATCCATTAAATGAATACCGTTAGGTGACCATAAACTAGCTTCATCATTTGAAAATTTTGGACGTGGTAGGTATAATTTACCATTTAATTCATTTAATCCATTTAACTGTTTACTGTTATTGTTGTTATCGATTGTTTTTGTCAGAAAATTTTCAGTTGTGCATAAAGTCAACAGATTAGTCGATGCTTTACCATGATTAATATTAATATTATTAGTATTACAGGCAATATTAGAATTTTTTGTTATTGATGAATTGCGAATTGGTGGAGGCGGTGGTGGAGAACATGTTGGTAATTGTTGTAATGGATCATTTAATTTTACACCATTATTAGTGTTATTACTGCTACTACTACTACTGGTAGTAGTAATGTTACTGCCGATAGTTCCCGAAGCAGCAGTGGTAGTGGTAGCATGCATTGCAAATGTATTAAATGAGCTTAGTGGTGCCAATGGCGGTGGGATTCTACACGCATCATCACTGATTTGTGAAATGTCTGTAGAGGATAAGTGGAATTGTTCTAAGAACATAGGATCTAAAGCAGTAGAATTAGGGTCTGGTCGAGGTGTACCATAATGATTACCTAGGAAAATGAAAAAAAGGGAACAAACATTTTAAAGACAACTTATATGTAAGAAAACAAATAACATTCGAGATGGGCGTGTACTTATGTACTTATGTAGTGTGACCTTTTGGCATATAGCACTGAAAATGATTACTAACACACGACATTCAGACCCAAAATTTCCAAACTTCATAGGCTGACCCATGAGTATATTATTTCTTAGAGAATAAATATCTAAGTTTAACTGTTAGTGGGTATTTCAATGCTAGGATCATAATGTATCCCGTTGATGGAATAAAAATATTTCAATGTCTCATTTACTTAATGCTTTTTTATTTCGCTAATACGAAACCTTAAAATAAGGATCTACATACATTTGTTCCAGATCCTAATTCGATTATAAGTGTCTGGTCAGAATCAACATTATTGTAGTTAGGAATGTTTTTGACACAATGAATCAGTCTATTACATTATAAATATATTTAGATTGAAGTGTCTAATAAAAGGGTTACACATAGCCCAACCAAGATCAGGAATGATGATAGATGTAGGACTGATTTGAACAAAAAATTAACGGTTATTAGATCAAGTTACGACATCAAGAAAACAAGTTACCGACTGTTAGCCTAATTCAAGTAGAGCAGTAATAACTTTCTGTATAGTAATACATAAGATGTGCGTAATCAGTAATAAAATTGAAGTGGATAGCAAAGATGCGTACACATTTACTAATTATTTTCTTGTAAATCTTCAAAATATCTCTTTTATTTACTTGTTTTCCATTTGATTATATTACTGTCGTTAGTTTACGGGTGTAATTCATTAGAGTTGCGCAGTAATGTAATGCCCTCAAATGTCCTGGTACGGCCGACAGTAGGGAGAGTCCGATCTCCCTCTCCAAATGCTCTCATATGGCCACGCGTATACAGCTTCTGCCAGGGAAGCCCTACTCACTGCATTCTTACAGTGGCATTACTGTTGTTTACCGAATTGAGAGGACGAAAGGCGAATTTCCGGCGCTTTAACAGGGTTAATGGACACGGAGGATCCACCAATGGTAGTTGGAAAACCCTCATTCCAAACCATTGGTGCACATGGGCTCCAGTATCCTGAGGGAACAAATGGCTTATGAATCAATCGTTGGTCACCGACTACCATGGGACTGCATCTCCTTACGATGCTCCACTGCCTTGTGGACTAGACCTTCAGGTCAAAGGCTCCGGGTGTGGCCCCCTAAGAAAACCACCTGCTTCAGTTTGGGCACCTGGGCAGTATCACAGCCCTCACACAAATCAAATGAGATTTGTGTGGCGCATATGTATTTGGTGCCTCTTTGTACCAATATTTATGTGTTCAAATAAATAAATAAATAAATAAATGTATATTAATACACAGGGTTTTTTGCTATTGTCCTTATTTCTCTCTCTCCTTTTTATTGACATGCAATCACTGACTGCAAACAAATAAGTGCGAACTCATGTTTTTTCTGGATAACAGAGACAAATGTAGTGGGGTAGTACAATGGTCAAAATACTGAGCTTCTAATCATTTGAGTACAGGTTTGAATCTTTATTCATCTACCTTGAACTGTGATGCCTGGATAGTATGGCAAAACGTGTTGCTGAAAACCGATTGCGATTTAGTTCACGAGTTACATTAATTTTTTACATTTTAAATAGAATACAATAAAAGTTTGTTAAGTAATGAAATTGGTTGATATTACGCGAACAACAACGGAAACAAACCCATATGTCTGACTACTTGTACATCTAAAAGTTTGAATTGATGTATACTCTGTTGAAAAAATTCCACTACTATTTCAATTTAAATAGCTTCAGATGTGGTTTAGTTAATGTAAAAAGCATGAAGTAAAGGTTATGGATTGATCATAGTTAAATGTCGGCTTAATGGTTTACAGGTTAAAACCAAATGTCCTGAGTTCGATCCCTGTATGCGCAGTCATGGATACGCATTGCTGAGTGCTATAATGGGATCAAATGGCAATCTAGTGCTACTAGGTTTTTAATGATGGTTTAACTTGGATCGGTGCATGATTTCAATGAATTAAAGAGTTTAAATTTATCGAAGTCGAAGTAGTTTAACCCTAATTTTTAGTTATTACGTATGCATGACTAAATATTCTTTCAAACAAACTACAATACGGGGCCTTTGAGACTTTCACAACACAGATACTATTCAGAACTGGTTTTATTGGACTATTAAAAGAGACGAAAAACAGTACCATTGTCTTGTACATTATCATATAGATATCATCAATATAGACATACATATCTAAGAGACTAACAATCATCATCCATCATATTATTTTTATCACTATGCAGGCTGAATAAGTGAGCAACCCATTGTACACTTGTTCATGTGTATGATATAGTGTGAATAAATCTTTATGCAAATAAATTCAATGATGTATGAATCAGCTCATTATGTATTCACTCTTGCAACCAATTGGAAATCATACAAATTTATTAAAATCAAGGTTGAAGTTAACTAATCTGTAAAATAAAACCTACTGAAACCAGAAACTATTGTGCAAAAGTTACTACCATCAAAAGACAACAGGGTTAACAACCACACTATTGTAATAAACGATACAAAAGTGAGACAAGATATCATGAGTCATAAAGATTACTACTATTAACATTGGTGCCTTTCATCATAGGACAAAGTTATAAGTTAATCGACAGCTTAGCGTATGCTTGTTCTTATCAATATACACATGGATAGGAACTTTCTGGCTAATAAAATGAAATAGAACAAAGAATTGAAAAGAAAATAATTCATAAGATAATTTTTTTAAGAATGAAACTGGGGAATGAATGTAGTATGCAAAAGTGAATGCTAAGATGAACTAACAAAAATGTGATTTTAAACAACGTCATTGAAGGAAATTGAAGACTGTACATACTTATCCCCTGTAATACTTAATTACTCGTGTTACTCCTCGTAGAGGAGCATAGGCCGCTCACCAGCATTCATCACCCAACTCTGTCCTAAGCAATCCATTCTACTTGTTTTCAGTTGTTATTCATTCTTTAGATGTCTGCTTCCGATTCCCAACACAGTGTGTTCATTGGTCATCCTCCTTTTCGTTTCCCTACAGAATCTCAAGTTAGCGCCTGCAGTTTGACGATTTCCTCACTATGTGTCCTATCCATTTCCAAAGTCTTTTCCTAATTTCCTCTTCAACTAGAACCTGTTTTGTCCTCTTCCACAGTAGGCTGTCACTGATGGTATTCGAACAACGGACATTGGGTATTTTGCATAGACAACTGTTTATAAGTACTTGTACTTTTTGAATGAAGGTTGCAGTCGTTCTCCAAGTTTCAGCTCTGTACATTAGAACCGTCTTGACTTTCGTATTGAAGATTCTCACTTTGACGTTGTATTGCAAACAGCTGTTTTGAGTTTCATATGCTCCTCAACTGTAGGAATGCTGTCCTTACTTTGTCAATCTTTGTCTTTACGTCTGCATCTGGTCCTCCTTGTTAATCGATGATGATGCTAAGATAGGTACGTGAATGTTTCCATATCTTCCAGAGTTTCACCATCAAGTGTGACTGGGTTGGTGTTCTCCAAGTTGTATTTGAGCATCTTGGCTTTCCCCTTGTGTATGATGAGGCCTGCTGATGCAGAGGCTGCTACTACACTGTTTGTTATGACCTGTATTTGTTCGTGTGTATAGGATAGAAGGGCCAGGTTATCTCTGAAGTCCAAATCGTCTAGTTGCATCCAATCTGTTCGTTTTATTCTGTGCTTCCCGTCAGATGTCAAGGTCTTCATAATCCAGTTAATCAATATAAGAAATTGGAAGGGGGAGAGTGGGCAGTCTTGACTGACTCAGGTCCTTACTGGAAATGCATCTGTCAGTTGTCCTCCATGCACCACTTTGCACGGTAGTCCGTCGTATGGATCCCGTATTGATGATTGTCTCAGGTACTCACACCATAGTGTCGAAGAAGTTTCCATAGTGTTCTCCTATCCACACGATCAAACGCGTTCTCATAGTGGGGAAATTTGATGTATAGTGACGAGTTCTACTCAATTAATTGTTCAACGATGATCCTAAGTGTCGTGATTTGGTCTGTGCACGACCGATCCTTACGAAATCCAGTCTGTTGATCTTGAAGTTGAACGTCTACTGAATCATTTATCCAGCTCAATAAAACTCTGTTGAAAACTCTTCCTGGTGCCGGTAGTAGTGTGATTCCCATGTCGTTCTCACATTTGCTCAGATCTTCTTTGTTTTGTATCATGATGAGGTATCCATCTTCCCAGTGTGTCGGTGGTACTGGTTCTTCCTCCCAAATCTTCCTGAATAGAACAAAGAGCATGTTTGCAGTTACTTCTATATGTGACTTTATTGCTTCGTCTGGCATATTGTCAGGTCGTGCTGCTTCAATATCCGATGGATCCAATGGTACTGGTCTATTTAAGAGTTCCTCGAAGTGCTCCACCCATCTGTTCTTCTGTCCTTAGATTTCAGTAACTGGCTTTCCTTCTTTGTCCTTGATTGGTCTCTCTGGTTTACTATATTTTCCTGTCAGTTTCTTCGTCGCGTCATATAGTTGTTTATCTCCTGTAATAACTTATCAATTATATTATCAGCTAGAAATGTTTTGTGTTTAGTGAAAATGTAAAATTTTGTGACTATCGAATTCCTATTTGATGTAGTTCATGAGCAACATTTTTTGGGGGGTAGTAAAAAGATTATATTGCCAACTTTGCCTACATCCCATTATTCAATAGTAATAATAATAATAATAATAATAATAATAATAATAATAATAATAGTAATAATCTGTTTGCCAAGTACATGTTTATATATGCATAAAGATTTTTGTATACTAGACCCTGAACCAAACTTATAATATGTGAAGGCTAGCATTGTCATTAGACAGCTCAAACTAATCAGTCTAGCTTTCTAAATGAAGTAAATACTCTAATCATTTTACGCAAACAGACAATGACATTACTCTGAAATCTGACATACATCCATTGAGAAACATATCTCACGATAAACCATTATATACGAAAATACAATGTCCATAATTATATCTTAGCATAATATTATAAACAGAAACTATACTAAATTAGAAAACTACTGAATAAAATACGGCTGAAAACAGTGAGAGTATAATACCTTTATACATTCCACTTTCTAATAATTGTCCACTACGTTCAAGTGCAAGAAATTGAGGTACATTCATAAAACGATAATGGACTCCATCTACTTCTTCTGCTCTGGGCAATCTAGTTGTACCTAACAATAAGAGAATATATGAAAATATTTAAATAAGATTTATAATTAACTGTCGACCACCAACCGTATAAAAGAACAAAAAACTTTGAAGGTGAATTGAGGAAGCGGTTTAGGTTGCAGCGATTTTCAGAACTAAGACCCAAAATAAACAAAATATGTACGATATAAAAAAAAAAGACAGAAAGGATAGGATAAAAAATATCCCAATATCAAATCATTAAGTTTTTTTAAAAATGTTTACTTACAAGGTACTACACGTTGATAAACATTCTCTCGTATTTTTTCTTGAAGGGTATACTCTGGTGAGTCCATCGCAAATGAAATGGCCAAAAAGCTTGACAACATTGTACTACTTGTGACTAATGCATGAGGTGGACTAAGATGCAATCGGACATGTGAATGAGATTGTAGACAAGCATTACATAATGTAATAGCATCACGTTTTGTATAGCCTGAGAGTTCATAACCATCAATAGCTAAGATTATATCACCCGGTTCCATGGATTTCGAATTATTGTTATGAGTATTATCATTATTATTAGAAGTGGTAGTAGAGCCGTGATAGATAATACGAGATGGATCGAATTGAGCACCGACTACACAAAACATACCAGCATCTGAACCTCCATCAATTGGAATAACTGGTATATCACCACTATTGTTATTATTACTATTCTCGATTTTCGCAGATATAACTATCTCATAGCATTGTTCTAACCATCGATATTGTTTTGAATTTTTTTCAGAATTGGCTTTTTGAAGAGATGAAACAAAATTTGCACCATCCTGTTTTGTTAACTCACTTTTCATTTCCTTCATTTCTTTTAAACAAAGACAAAAAAATGGAAAAAACTTTAAATGAATGGTAAACTTCACAAAATAACCAAACAATCAGTAGAACAGGACAATTTTTTCTGGTTCAAGCTGTTAAGTCTCATAAGACACTTCTAGCTGCCTCAGTTGGATGTTCATGATTTATTGGAGAAAGTCAGACAGACCCCGTAGCTAGTAAGGTGCGGGTGCAAGTGAGATATTATGAGTATGTGAATTATTTTCCCTGTTTAGTGATTCCGATCATCAACACATTCAAGAAAAATTACTTCACCTCTAACAATGAAGTTTTTCATGCAATTTTATTCTTTTTTAACTGGAGTGAATGTCAAGGAGATGATAGTGACTGAATATAACAGCATAACGTAGCAGTTTATCATTAATTTACTAGATATATATTTGTGCACTTGTCTTCGAACCCCACTTTATGTTAGTGATATTACTCAGGTGCACAAACCAAAGTAGGTTGAGGAGGGTTTAAACCTGAGACTGAGTGAAAGCCACTTGTTACAACTCTAGTTCACGGGTTACCAGCTGATTTAAAAATATTATGTGGCATACCACTTATCTGATTGTTCCATTATAAGCAGGTAGTTTCAAGGATATCGGCAATTAAAAACCGCAAATATTTGCGGGAAGGTGCTGACGATATTGTTCAAAACGACAGTGAAAGCCTCACGGTTGAGTCATTTAACTTAGATAAGTGAACAATACCAAAAATCTATCTATTCATCCTACTTTAGAATATGTTTTATAGCCAAAACAAACTATATGAAGGATAAAAATTCGTAAGTTCGAGTCATTAGCGATGACTTTCAGTAATAAAAAGGATGAGTTAGACAAGGACAGTAAAATTTGCAGCCTGAGTGGATTGCTTTGGCACTACCATTTAGTCACATGTTTTTGAATAAAGTTGAACACTATCTAATAAAGGAATTCAGAACGGGATTCCCAGTGTGAACCTCAATACTGAGATGCAGGTCAGTCAGTCACCTACAACGTAGAACCAGGCATATATATGCATCGATCAAAGTTTTCACACCTCATTAGTACAACAAGGTGAACACCAAATTCATGGTAGTTACTTAATAGGCATTATTATATGAAAGAAAGATTTCATAAAAGGATACAATACAGTAAGAAAGAATTAGTTCTTAGAAATAAAGGTATAAAGTAATTTTAATCTCACGGTTTAAGGGAGGACAAAGAGTGTATACACCTATGCCTTTTTGATAGATTCTGAGCCATTTCATCCAGTTTCCAACCATTAGGTACGATAGTCACGCGGACCCCAATCAAGTAGTCTGCATCTACGAACATGGCTCAAACCAGAAGTCACTTCAATGACTGATGCCACGTTTTAGTTTAACCGACCCTAACTTTGTTCCACCTGTCTCCAACACCAGCCAGCATTGCGCGTCGTGGTAATCGGTTTTCAGGCATACGCAACACGTTGCCCAACCATCTCAGTCGGTGAAGATTTACAACCTCATCAACTGACTTACCACCATTCCCTAATACCTTGCGTCTAACTTCACTATTATTTACCCAGTGATCCAAGCAGATGCGAGCAATATTTCTAAGATATCTGTGATCAAATACTAGTAACTTACGAGTAACTTCTACTCTTAATGGCAGTGTTTCACAACCGTGAAGTAAAACAGAACGAACCGCTGTGCAGTATACTCGTCCTTTAAATGATAGACGGATATTTGCTCTTCGTGATAGGTAGTGGCGTATTTTCGGCAAAGACCAGACGAGCTTCCTGAATCCGTGTAGAGATTTTGTCAGACACCAACCCCCTAGGGTTGATCTGACTTCCAAGATAAGTGAAGTTGTCGACGTGTTCGACTACTTCACTCCCTATGCTTAGTTCAGGTGTTGACGCAGACCATTCTGGAGTAACAATTTACATTTAAAGGGGAAGAAACGCATTCCAAAAATCCTTGGATTGTTACTCAGTGCTACCAAAAGACCGCATTTTATCAGCGTCTTTACCAAACAGGACTGTCATCTGAATATTCCAAGTCGATGAGTGGACCTCCGGAAGATCGATTCCCGAAAATTCAGTCGACGAGAACGTTACTTCCAGTAGTAGATCTATGATGAAATTAAACAAAAATGGAGATAGTGGACAACCTTACCTGACACCACTTGAGGTTTCAAAATTAGATGACAGTTCGCCATAAGCCCTCACTCGACTGGTAGTGTTCCAGTAGAGAACCTTCACAAGGTTTATGTACTTCTGAGGTACACCTTTCAATGACAGACACTGTCACAGAACCTCTCAGTCTAAAGAGTCAAATGCTGCTTCCAAGTCGAGAAAGACTTATTGTCTGACGCCGATAAGCATGCCTGCGTGTGGTTGATACAGCCACGATCAGGTCTGAAGCCAGTCTGATTTTCTCGTCTTTGCTTTCACAAGCCTTTGTTAGGTGTCCGATTGAGGTTAGTATTTTAGATGCTATGTTAGTCAAATTAATCCCTCTATGGTTATCACAGGATGATTTTGACCCCTTCTTATATATTAGGACAGTCAATGATTGCGACCAATCAGATGGGATTAAATCTAATTCCAAGATTTTAGCTAAAATATTAGTCAACCTAATCGCTAAAACTGGACCACCATAATGAAAGCCCGACCGGTGCTGCTACCTTAACGTGGTGGTCGGGCTTGCCTATCGTGATGAACCATACTGGCTGAAATAATCGTTCCTCAAGGTCCTACCATGTCAGATAGGTTGGTTGAAAAGCGGTAAGACTAAAAGCAGCAAACCCAAGGTCCTAAGGTGAAGCCGTACTGCTTACTGTACAGAGACGTGACGGCAATAAGGTGTTTTTTTCAGACAACCAGCATAACAGCGATGCTGCCTTCCACAGGGGGTGGGGTTGGAAAAGGTAGACCCTAAGAATGCACACCCTCATCCCATCAAGCTCTGAACACGATGAAGAGCGAAAGCAAATCAGATCTAGGTTAACCAAAAGTCTAACTAACGGTCGTGAGCAGAGGTGGGTAACAAAAGTAAAAGAAATGGAAAAGACAGCGGCTGTAGGCAACATCAGACAACTCTTCAGACTAATAAAAGAAACCAGAATTAAGAATTCAAGTGTTTGCGAAACAATCTCGGAAAAAGACGAAACCCTTATCTGCTCACATCTCAGACGTGTGGAACGATGAGCGGGACACTATAGAGAACAGTCACGCAACCTTTTTGAGGGCAATTTTTGTGTGAGTTCCGTACTTGTTGAGACCTTACCGCCGGAGACGGATATCAGTAGGATTGGGTCTACCTTTTCCAACTCCACCCCCTGTGGAAGGCAGTATCGCTGTTATGCTGGTTGTCTGAAAAAAACACCTTATTGCCGTCACGTCTCTGTACAGTAAGCAGTACGACTTCACCTTAGGACCTTGGGTTTGCTGCTTTTAGTCTTACCACTTCTCAACCAACCTATCTGACATGGTAGGACCTTGAGGAACGATTATTTCAGTCAGTATGGTTCATCACAATAGGCAAGCCCGACCACCACGTTAAGGTAGCAGCACCGGTCGGGCTGAGATGCAGGTATATACAACTGAGTCCTAAGCGTAACGAAACGTGTGTCCTGCATCCCACCGAACGTTATTATTGAAATTTACTTACAGATAAGGTTAGATAAGTTGTTAAAACCCATAATTAGGAACACCAAAGGCTAAACGAATAAAAAATAGGGAGTGAAAAGTGCTTATAGATTTCAAGACTTAAAGAAAGATTAGTTGTATGTTACAGTCTCAATGCTTTGGGGCATGTTATTTGTTTCCACGTTAAAACCACTTTGTAGATCCAAACTAGAAAGTGGGGAGAGTCCGCTGTCGCTCTCGAAATCAGTCAGTCAGTCACAACGTAAAACCAGGCACATTTATGCATCGGTCCAAGTTGCCAGACCTCGTCAGCACAACAAGATGAACACCGGATCCATAGAAATAGTTAATTTAGTGGTGGTGGTGGTAGTATATAAAAGATAGGTTTTATATAAGGATATAGTATAGGAAGGAGGAACGTTATGAAGCAATTTTAATCTCAAGGTTTAAGGGAAGATAAAGAGTGTATACACCTACGCCATTGTGATCGATTCTGAGCCATGTCACCCAAAGTCTCCAACCATTGGTTACGATAGTCACGCGGACCCCAACCAGGTAGTCTGCATCTACCAACATGGCTCAGACTAGAAGTTAGTGATTTCAAGCACTGATGCCACGTTTTGGTTTGGCCGCCCCTAACTCTCTTCCAACCATCTCCTACACTAGTCAGCGTAGCGCGTCGTGGTAATCGGTGTTCAGGCATACCTAACACGTGGCCCAACCATCTCAGTCGATGAAGATTCATGACCTCTCGAAATGCTCTTACATGGCCACGCGTATATAGCCCCGTAAGAAAACCACCTGCTTTAGTTTGGGTAAATGGACAGTATCACAGCCCTCACATAAATCAAATGAGATTTGTGCGGCGCATATATATCTGGTGCCCCTTTGTACCAATATTTGTGTTTAAATAAATAAAAAATAAACACATTTAGACAGAGTAAGCCGACAACCATCTTTACTAGATGCTTCCACGTTCTGGTTTGGTTGCCTATTACCTATTACAGGGCATATGACGTATAGATAGGCAGTGATCAGGCATTCAGCTATCCAATACCATGAAAACAAGTTTAACAAACCTAAATGAAGAATAGGGAGTTTGGAGAACGACTCTTTGACGTACTTAGCTATATGGTATTGTGTCGTTATGGTCGGAGGACAGTATCTGATGCTTTTTTGCGACTATCGAAAGTGACTAACTATTAGAACTTCATTGAAAAAGTAGATCACTTTTAAGTGGTGTATGGATCTTCTTGACTAATTTACGAGTGAAATATTCTGCATACAAATATTAGATTACCACCAAATTATATGATTTACGAATGAATTCCAATATATCCCCCATTATGGTGGCCACTTAAGAAAACAAATAACGGACTATGCACACATCTTACGATGGTCTTATTTGGGCGTTTGTTGACTCAATTTATTAGGCATTTACGAAGCATTTGGTTCTTATTTATAAATTTTGTAGGGCATATAACCTCTGTTAATCATATCTTGGAGTACTTTTAAGAAGAGCCTTAAAATATGTCTGCTGATAGGTCTGCCACTATTTTAACGAGCAAAGCACTTAATTAGAACCGTAAGACCGTTTGAAGTATTTGAACTAACTGATGATTACTTTGAAATTGATAGTGCGTTTATTACAAATTTTAAATATACGTTCACTTGTGTTCATCTAGTTCTACCTGCGTTAAATAGCACTATTTCAGAAATTCTTAGTTAGTACATTATTTTAACTACAAATCAACATACCATCTTATCAACCTATCGTTCAGATTTAACAAGAACCTGCTGCCTTTAGATTTAAACGTACGAGAAATGTAAATAACAGAATTAGGAATGCTTTGTGAAATACTAATAATCAGCGTTGGTTTACCAACGAAAAATGCATTAGATTGATGTAGTGATTACAGTAGTTTTGTCGTAGGACAGTGATTTTTTTAACTTTGATGTAAATTTCATCGGCAGTAAAAACCAACCAGGAGTGAATCAGATCATTTGATAAAATTCATCATTCAACTGAAACATGGACATGTTTACTGCGCTCATCCCGAATACGAAACGAGTTGTATATGTCTAAGAAAATTACGCGCTACGTTTTAGATTTGTCGTTTCCTGTCATCAGTATCCACAGCTAGTTTAGGTTACTCATATTGCTGGATTCGGTCTATGATATCAAATTTGCTACAAAACGACATGAAATTTGTTCTTTCGTATTCACATCGGACCTAGCGCAAACATACTCACTGCAA